TGGGAAAGGGCTGCCAAACCCTTTATACAACCGACCTTAGTCGCCTTCTACGACATGCGCGGTACGGATACAGTGGTCCTATTCTTTGCTCCCCTGTCTCTTGGACAGGGCCCCGTGAACTACGCGGGTGAATTTTGGGCAATGTCTCTAATCAAAATCCCCCCCCCCCCCCCCAAAAAAAAAATTTTTTTAAATAAGAGAGCATTTGTATCCCGCCTTTCCCTACAGCATGGGCCCAAGGCGTACCTAGGAGATTAAAAACGCATTCATACTAACACCATACAAATTCATCTTGTGGGCACTTTTTGACAGCAACATTCTTTCAGACAATAAAAAATGCTCATACAAAAAGGCAAGGTACTGTCCATTAATTAAAATATTTCTTCAATAGATGTGTTTTGAGTCCCCTTTTGAAGGTATCAAGTTTTATTTCGCTCCTCAAATCATGAGGGAGAGTGTTCCAAACTGTTGGCCCAGAAAAAGAAAAAGCTCTCTCACCATATTTCTTCAGTGACACACGAGGTGTTGAAATTAGTCTAGAGCCACTGGATCTTAGTTCACGTGATGGTGTGTATGGTACAAACAATGAGTTCTTGAATGTATATGAGAGACTGGTTAGTTTGACCTTTGAAAATCCAGTGGTCCCACAGATTTCGGTTTCAGTTGACTCCACTGTATATTCACTACATTCTTCCTCTCTAATCAAAACTTGTAGTTGGGGCACACAAAAATTTACCAGTTTTATTTTTCACTTTACTTTCTCATCCAGTGCAATTGTTTGAATTTATTTTTGAGAAAGCGGGTGGAAATATGTGAGCGTGCCCGGAGAAAGGTACCAAAAGACACATATCTCAAAAAGTACGAAGGATATCTTAAAAATTCAAAAAGTTTATTGTTCAGAAATGATCTCTGAACATGAAAATAAAAAAAATAAAAAATTAGATTCTTCAAAATGCGTCATTTGGTACCTTTCACCAGGCACACGCACATATTGTTCGTTAAGTGGGTGTTTTGCTGGTGATCTAGTGTGGTTTGCTTCTTCTTTCCTATCAAATATCTATCGTCTTTATCTCCCTTCCTTCTTTTTTTGTGTTTGTTTCTCTCTTGTAACACCTGTAATCTTCGGCACTTATTTGACCTTATTATTTTGTTGCAAGTGCCGTAAAACTCTTACTGAAACTAAAAATTGTTTGTTGAAGAGCAGTATTAATTGTGTATTTTACAATTGTTCAAATGCAACTGAAAACTTTGTGCGTCTGTTCCACAGGACCTTCATGGAGTCCAAGGCAAACAAGAGGTCGTTGGGTACATTGCTCGAGACGTTGGGGTAAGGATTGAAGAAAAAGTCCCAGTCAAAGACAGCTGTTATTACTCTGTCCCAGCTGTTTCATGCAAAAGAAATTCTGAAATTATACAAACTGAGCCCAAAAATGTGAAATTATTATGCATTTCTGTTAATTTTAACAAAGAATGATAAAGGAAAATAATTAGAGATTATACAAAAAATGATCAAATTTTGCTATATTATGCAGGGTGCATAAAACCACGGGGACATATTACACCAGCTTATTGAAGCTCGACTGAATCTTACCGATATCGATACACAGCCCAAAAAAAAGGTCACCCCTATATTATTTTCTGTTCAACTTTTTCAGCTACATGAAATGCCCTCCTGCTTTATGCCGATACGTCTTCCTTTGGATGATTTTGTTTTAATTTGATGTCATAAAGTCTAGTTTATCAATCCCCGTCGTTTTACGCAAGAAAAATTCTGAAATCATGCAAACTGAGCCCAAAAATGTGAAATTATTCGATTCTGTTAATTTGAACAAAGAATGAGAAAGGAAAATAATCAGAAATTATGCCAAAAATGATCAAATTTTGCTAAATTATGCGGGGGCATAAAACCTCGGGGACGGAAATTACTCCAGCTTATTGCAGCTCTACTGAATCTTTCTGAAATATTGATGCATAGCTCAAAAAAGGTCACCCATATATTTTCTGTTCGACATTTTCAACTAAATGTAGTGCTCTTCTGCTTTATGTCAATACGTCTTCCTTTGGATGATTTTGCTTAATTTGATGTCGTAAAGTCTTATTCGTCTGTGGTTGGCGGGTGCTGTGGTGTGGTTTGCTTCTTCTTTCCTCTCAAACGTCTATCGTCTTTATCTCCCCTTCTTCTTTTTTGGGTTTATTACTCTCTTGCAACACCTCTAATCTTCAGCACTTATATGACCTTATTGTGTTGCAAGTGCCGTAAAACTCTTACTAAAACTAAAAGCCTTGTTTATGTTGTTCCTGTGGATACCACACAGCTACCAGTGCTGAAGTTTTCCCTGCGTCTGTCAAGTCTGATTACATCGTTAGAATATTTATTGGCCTTGATTTCTTTACCTGTCCCCGTCGTTTTATGCAAGAAAAATTCTGAAATTATGCCAACCGAGCCCCAAAAAATGTGAAATTATGCAATTCTGTTAATTTTAACAAAGAATGATAAAGGAAAATAGAGATTATGCAAAAAATGATCAAATTTTGCTAAATTATGCGAGGTGCATAAAACCGCGGGGACAGCTTTACTTAATGAGGGAGACTCTTTGAGGTGTTGCTGTAAGTTTGGAGATGCCACATACAGATTTAAGCCTACCCGTACGCCTGGGGTCATTTTATACCCCCGGGGTTGTATTATTCACATTTTAGAATACTTCTAGTAGGAGGGTCTCTTTGAAATTCAGTATTTCTCAAAAAACATTTTGACAGACTGCTATGCAAAGCCTACGGATCGGATTAACGAGTAAATTTCCTCCTTGAAAGTGGTGGCGCAGAGTTTCCCACGTCGTATGGATACGAAAGTAAAACATGACGTGCGGATAGGGTTAATAATGATAATATAAGATTGCATTTCTATAGCACTCTATTCCATACGAGTATAAGCTGTGAACGATTTAAATCGATAATGAGGATTAGGTCTTCCAAAACACATGCAGAGGATCATACCATATCCTGACAACCCCCAGCAGCGGTGCCACTGACTGTAGTGTCTTTAGGCCATTCCCAAAGGGGGGGACATTTCTCGTTCCTGCACAGTAGAATTGTAAATGGGCTGATCCAACAATGTCATGCTCATAACTGTGCTTGAACTACAACAGAGAACTGCTGCTTTTTCTTTCCTAACCCTTACTATCGTCATTTCCCTCTACTTTTTTTGTATGTTTGTCACTCTCTTGTGACCCGCTATTTCCGGGGTGCCTTGATAGTCGAAGCAGACTTTGTGTTGTTGAAGCTAGAGAGGTGAGCAGAGTAAGTCTGATTCCCTGTAAGGACTTCTCTGTTGACATCCACCCCTTGGCGCTCATCATATGACCTTATACAGTTGCGAGCGCCGTAAAACCTCTACTAACACAAAAATATCCTGGCAATGTTACTTGTGATCTGAAATGTGTATGTAAGGCAGCATGGTGGAATCAGGCTCTCGTCAAATTAATCAAAGTAAAGAAACTGGCATTTTTCCTCGGGTTTGTGAATTTTTATCAAATTTTCGTTTTTTGGCTCAACACCTTTCATGCCCATTAAGGAACTCATTTGTGTGTGGAGGGTTTTTTTAAACGTTGATTAAAGGCACAAAAAATGTAAATTTCAGTTACCACGGACTTTTAATCTAAGGAAATAACTAATCTTTGGCGGCCATTTTCTCACTAATTTTACCTCTGAAAACAGGTGACCTCTACCTCGTTTATTTGCAAATATGTCGACCTGTATTCAAGATAAATGAATATTTTTTTCATTCAAATAAAGACAAGTGAATGAGCTTTACTTTAAGATGATACCAATAACTCTACATGCCTCAAAATGGACGAGAGCCTGATTCCACCACGCTGCCTCACATTTTGTTTATGCTGAAGGATGTAAGAATGTCAGAGAGATCTGGGGAACAATTTTATGAAGACGACAGTATCCCTCCGACAGTGTCCCTCCGACAGTGTCCCTCCGACCGTGTCCCTCCGACAGTGTCCCTCCGACCGTGTCCCTCCGACAGTGTCCCTCCGACAGTGTCCCTCCGACCGTGTCCCTCCGACAGTGTCCCTCCGACAGTGTCCCTCCGACCGTGTCCCTCCGACAGTGTCCCTCCGACAGTGTCCCTCCGACAGTGTCCCTCCGACAGTGTCCCTCCGACCGTGTCCCTCCGACAGTGTCCCTCCGACAGTGTCCCTCCGACAGTCTCCCTCCGACAGTCTCCCTCCGACAGTGTCCCTCCGACAGTGTCCCTCCGACAGTCTCCCTCCGACAGTGTCCCTCCGACAGTGTCCCTCCGACAGTCTCCCTCCGACAGTCTCCCTCCGACAGTGTCCCTCACTGCACATTTTGGACCTTCATGTACTGAAAAGTGTCTTTTTCATTCTCTTTACAGAATCACTGCCATGCAAGCAAACATCACTAGTGTCTTAGGTAAGTCAGAGACATGGCTTTTCTTTACATTGTAGTTTATTTGACCCTTACTAAAACTAGCAATCTGAGACTATTGTATGTGTGCAACATTTAGTTTAATCAATGTCAGACACAATTGTATGTGTGCAACATTTAGTTTAATCAATCTCAGACAATTGTATGTGTACGACATTTAGTTCAGTCAATCATACACAACTTTACAGGTGCGACATTTAGTTTAATCAATCTCAGACAATTGTATGTGTGCGACATTTAGTTTAATCAACCTCAGACAATTGTGTGTGTGTGTGTGACATTTAGTTTAATCAATCTCAGACAATTGTATGTGTGCGACATTTAGTTTAATCAACCTCAGACAATTGTGTGTGTGTGTGTGACATTTAGTTTAATCAATCTCAGACAATTGTGCGTGTGTGACATTTAGTTTATTTATTTAATCAATCTGAGACAATTGTGTGTGTACGAAATCTAGTTCAATCAATCTTAGACAATTGTGTGTGTGCGATCCTGCTAATGTACCATGACCATCCACTCAACAAGCACCAATTTTTTTCTTGTTGTGTCGTGCAGAAGCCTTCAAGCGAGCCAGGATGAAGATGGTGCACGCCCGCGAGGCGGCCACCCAGGAGCTACTGAGAGAAGCCAAACCTATACAGAAGGGAGAACTGGACGACGGAGAGGAATAAAATCTTACGTCACGTCGGCAATGTTTGTGTTCTCAGCCAGCTGATCTAATGTACAAAACCCAACTTTTGGAATTTTTATTTGGTCGCTTTTAAGGACAAGCGGGCTAACCCAGGTTTCGGAGGTTTCCAGAAATCTGGACCTACACCAGAAGTGGGCATTGCCCTACCTATAGGAGAAATTTGGTTTCTTTGGTGTGTATATTCGTTTGGTTTTAGAGTAAACACTCCTTGTCTTTTACAAAGGCTGAATATGGATCCAAAAACTTTAACTTCAATTTTTTTCAAAACAGCGTTTTTCGGGATAGCCCCGTTGTGCTTAAAAGCGACCATTTATAGTAGTTTTTTAATCTGTGATATCAATTACATGTGTTCCAGAAATATTTTGTGAAAATTCTAATGTAAATGTTGATTTAAGAAGAAAAAAACAGAAGAAAAAAACAACATAATTTGGGTACAGTTTTTAAAAGAATAAAACAGTTGGGTTTGTTGGGGGGTTTTTTGGGGGGGGTTCTCATCTGAAAGTTTTTTTTGCTTTCTGGGCTTCAAATAGTTGAATAGCTTGCTGCTGATGTATTACTGGCTGATAGGCGACTAGCCTGACCACAGCCGTACTTCATACTACTACTTCATACTACTAAAGTTAGTCGTGTACTTTCTCCATCCTGAAAGGGGAACCCACATGATGAAGGACCCACATGTCTGTGAGCCTGAATGTCTTGTTGGGTGAGAAGAATATAGGACTGTCGTTGCCGTTTTATGCCAAAAAAATTCTGAAATTATGCAAACTGAGCCCAGAAATTTGAAATTATGTGACTCTGTTAATTTTAACAAAAATTGATAAAGGAAAAATAAACAGAAATTATGCCAAAAATGATCAAATTTTGCTAAATTATGCGGGGTGCATAATACCCCGGGGACAGACAGGGTTCTTGTGGCTAGCTACAGGACTACCGGGGGGTTTGTCATGCACTGAAGTGGGTGGTTGGCGGGTGCTCGGGTGTGGTTTGCTCCTTCTTTCCGATAAAACATCTATCATCCTTATCTCCCCTCCGCCTTTTTTATGTATGTTACTCTCTTGTAACACAATATATTCTTCGGCATTTAGGTCTGTATGGCCCTATTGCATTGCAAGTGAAGTAAAACTCTTATTAAAACTAAACTAAACATGCACTGAATGTAGAGTCTACTGGATGGAAGATATAGATCTATGCTTTTGGGGGTCGTAGGTTGGACCCGACTCATGAATAAAGATGTGGAGTTTTGAAACACTGATTCTCTGTCTGAGCCCAGGGAAGTAGTAAATGAACATGCCAAAAATTAAGTGTTACTAGATAGTAACATACGAATTATAAAAGAAAGAGAAGAGATGGCAATTATGTTGGTCATGACGGGGTGGAATCAGGCGCTCGTCAATATTTGGGCATGGGAAGTCATAGGTATCGTCTGAGAGTTGTTTTATTTACCTTGCTTTCAATTAAATAAATAACCTTCTATCTTGAATAGAACTCAAGATATTCACGATTGAAGGAAGTGAGGTCGCCTGGTTTCAGTGGTGAAATTAGCGAGAAAATGGCCGCCAAAGTTTGGTAACTCTTGTAGATAAAGAGTCCTTGAAAAAAGCTAAAATGGTATATTTTGTACCTTAAATCAATGTTTTTCAGTAAAATTCACATGGAAATGTGTCTTTATATGGACATAAAAGGGGTTGTGCGAAAAAAGTAAAAATTTGATAAAAATTTCCGAACTGGCGGAAAAAGGCCTGTTTTTCCTATTTTTGTATTTTGACGAGCGCCTGATTTCACCTCGCTGCCTCTCGTATAAAGATTAAAAATGTTTGACAAGAAAGGAGCAAACCACACCATGCGGGTAGTAGTAGTGCATACGGACGTATCTCAAAAGGTTGGCAAGAGTGATTTACCTCTGTATGCAATACTGCCCGCGACCAACCAATGCACCTGCCAGCCACCCACATATCTCTACATAGGGCTGTCCCCCGTCGTTTTATGCAAGAAAAATTATGAAATTATGCAAACTGAGCCCAAAAATGTGAAATTATGCGATTCTGTCTATTTTTACTAAGAATGATAAAGGAAAATAATTCAAAATTATGCAAAAAATGATCAAATTTTGCTAAATTATGCAGGGTGTATTTAAAACCTCAGAGACAGATAGGGCCTAGTTCTGCATCTGCGGTGTGGTGTATGTCTGTCCCCGTCGTTTTATGCAAGAAAAGTTCTGAAATTATGCAAACTGAGCCCAGAAATGTGAAATTATGCGATTCTGTTAATTTTAAGAAAGAACGATAAAGGAAAATCTTCAGGAATTATGCAAAAAATGATCAAATTCTGCTAAATTATGAGGGGTGCATAAAACCACAGGGACAGGTATGTCAATGTTGCTATCGTTTGAATGTGGTTCTGGCACTTCATGGATGGTTGGCGGGTGCTCTGGTGTGGTTTGCTGCTTCTTCTTTCCTATCAAATATCTATCGTCCTTATCTCCCCTTCATCTTTTTTATGTTTGTTACTCTCTTGTAACAGCTCTAATCTTCTGGCGCTCATATGACCTTAATATTATGCAGTTGCAAGCATCGAAAAACCTCTACTAAACTAAAACTCTGGCACTTGTTACTGTATCTGAAAGTGCCTAAAGTATTGTCATATAATCCTAGCCAAGGAATCAACTATGTGTTTGTTTTGTTTTGGGGATTTTTTGCCCCTTCTCATTGTAAATAATGTATTTTTTTATGTTTAGGATAATAAAATTACAACTATGTATGCTCGGAAACCTTGTCTCTGTTTTCTTGTTTTTCCAATTTTAAGAATTAATATTATGTGCTCTCTTTCTTTCTCTCTCTCTCTCTCTCTCTCTCTCTCTCT